ACCTCTGACCCAATGCGCCCCGAACAGTTCACAGGTGCAAATTCATGACCGTGGGGGGGATGCCACTTACCCTTTTGCCCTTCATGTGGTCTTTCTATTTCGTGTTTGCAAAAAGGCAAAGCTGGCATCCTAGTGCATGTTTCTGCTGAGAGCATACGCTGTTCATGTCTACCTTATCGTATTCTTTGTGGCTTTAACCCATTGATCAGCTATGCTCGACTTTCACACCCCGTGGCCCAACAAGACGTTGGGGTGGGCCTGGCGCCCGGGGATGCTGACCCATCCCCATGCCCTGGAGAAGAAGAAGAAGAGAGAGAGCGAGAGAGAGAGAGAGAGCGAGGGAGGGAGAGAGACCTCAATGCGGTTGATGCAGCAAGGTTCCAAGTTGGCGTGACGAACCCGGAGTTGCGTTGCCTGATGGAGGGGAGCCGTGTTCTTCCGTGGCCCAGGATCAAGCTCTTCGGCGTATGGGGTCTTTGGCTCTTTACAGTGCCACAGACTCAACAGGTGCAGACTCTAAGTTAGCATTATTCCACTTTCTTTATATAAGACGACCTGCTTCGGGCATCCGGTTCAGTTTCGCAGACTCATTGAGGCCTGCCCTGCGTGCACGAAAGCCTGGTGGACCGTGGGGGATGGGCTACGAGGAGCCCGATGGCTCAAATGGCATGATTGGTCGCCGCAGATGTATCGGATCTTTGGTAGTGCTTGGTTGTGCCTGGTAGAGCTGCGCAGGAGAAACGGGCCCTGGACATCTCCTTCCTTGTGCGGTTCTTGAAGATGATAATTATCCTTGACTTGCATAGGCTATGCACCGGCTGATGCAACGCATGCTGAGGTGTTGCCCTTTGTCTCGTCCTTAGATCTGCAGCACGGCTGGCTGCTCCTGGATAGGGCTTCGTGCCGAGGTCTGCATATTCGCGCCCGTTCTCTTCAAGGATGCTGTAGCTTTACGGGGTTCAGGTCCCGCATCCTTTCGTCTGCTACTGCAGGATGCAGCAGTCACCTACTGGCTGTCCCTGATTACTTTGGTTGGGCTCTACGGGCTGCTAGACTGCATTGCCAACGGCCGCAGTGGAGAGATCTCAGCATATTGTGTGAATTCCGGGACAAGATCTATCTGAGTGTTGTTTCGAGAATTTTCATGGCCAAGTTGGACAGCCCACGCATCGAATTCAACGTGCAGGTGGAGCTTCAACACGCCTTTAGAAGATGAGAGCAAGATCCAACGTGGAGCAGGGCAGGACTTCCCATATCCGAAAGTTCGTGGCGCTTCGTGCAGCGCTTTGTTATCCGGCCTCTGCTCAGGACCTGAACCTGCCCGAGCCTGTGATGTGGGCAATCAAGGTGCCACCCTGGGCAAGAAGTCAAGACGGGTCGGCTCGTCTTTAAAGGCGAAGGGTTTTCTAATGTACAGTGTCGTTTGCAAAACAAGCGGGGAGCACGCAGAATTCCGTGTGTTTGTTCTCTTGGATTCGAGGCCCTGGACTTCGGCACGGGCTCCGAGAGAGGTGCACGCTCAGAAGACAAATCGTGGCAGGTGCAGATGCAGAGAAGGGCCTGAGAAGTTTTTGCAATGTTCTGGTTGGAAGGATCAGCTGGCAGCCTATGAGAAGGCTGCCGAGGAGCTGGCTGCAAAAAAAGCAAACAGGAGCCTGCGACGGTCTTACTGCCATAAGTTCTTGGATAGTGACCGCGTGCGACTTGTCCTGCTAGGATGGCTGAAAGCCCGAAGTGAGGGTACTACTGTGTGACATCGCGTGACGATTGTGCGGACGGACTCAGCTAGGGCTGTTGTTTCCAAGCTGACCCCAGCCGGGCTGGACCCATGCACCATCTGCGTGCTCATCCTAGGAAGAAGATTTTCTGAGCACAATTTTCGTCTGGCCTTCCAAGTTAGCAAGGGGGCAGGGCAAAATATCTTGTTGCACAAGAAATGGACACAGAGTAGCTTGCTGGAGTGCCTGACATGCAACGACAGCATCAGCCTGCTTTCAAGCTGAATCGGACCAGAGCCGGGAGTCTAGAAGCCAAGCCTGGTCGTGGCTACGTTCTCCAGGCACAGCTTGAGACCCTTAGCCATGCTCTTCAGCGTGCGCGATCCGAGGTCATGTTTGGAGATGAATGCTGATGTTTGTTTCGCAAATCCCGCACTCGTTTGGGGAGGTGCCGGGGAAGGCAAGCTGCACAATAACGCAGCACGTCCTTCAGCTCATCCTGCCATCGGGCTGAGCATTCGAACTGTGAGGCTTCTACTGCCGGACGGGTGTATGATGAACCCGAGCCATACGACGAGTGGTCTCAAGTGTCTCAAGGCACGGATTTCCTAGCGAAGCAGTGGCTAGTGACTAGTGGCGAGAGCTTCTGCAGCAGCCGTGATCGCTGCGGCAGTCCAGGGAAGCGTGTCATGTCATCTGAAAAGCACCGCTCCGTCACACTGCTGCTTTTCACGCCTTCTGTGAGGCCGTGGACGTTTCTCGGACCTGCCTTCCGTAGGCCGGAGTCGAAGCGTCGTTAAAGGGTTGTCGACTTGTGCACTTGCAGGCTCGAGGGAGCATGCCCTTGGAACTTGCCGCCCCTGTGCATGGCTGTGGAAGCCTGGTGGGTGTCGGAATGCCTATAACTGCACGCACTGCCACCTTTGTACTCCAGCATCTCAGCCGCACGTGGTACCGCAACCTGAGACATCCTAGAACCCCGGGAAGGATTGGTAATGAGTTGGAAATGTCACGGTGCAAGCCCAGGAAGATGCCAAGAAGCGGCGGAGGGAACACTCCAAGGGTGGCGAGCCTCCTCCCAAAGCCCAACCACCGCAGCGAGAGCGAGGGAAGAGGACGAGATTTTCGGGTGATCGCGAAGCTGAGTGCTGTGCCGATGCTATCCGATGCCTCGTGTCTGTGAAGGAGGCAGGAGTGGACTTGGCAGCAGGCAGAAGAACAACCTGCTCCGTGGATAGAGAATTCGAAGCCAATTCCCCCGCCTCCCACGACGCCGTCTCCGGCGGATGCCGTGTCTCGTGCTGAGTTGGATGAGATCAGGCAGTCACGCAACTAAGCTTCGGTCGAGCGCGTGATGGATCTTCTTTGAGGTGCGGGCCGGCTGCTCCTCCTGCTCCCGGCACAGGCCACAATGGTCCACCTCCGCCGGAGGAATCAGAATCGAGGTTCCTTGGATCGAAGCTTCGTCATCTTTGTCTAGAGTCTAGAGGCGATTAGAGGGTCCCACCATATCTACCAGATGGACCAGTTCGAGCCACCCGCGGGGCCGTTGGCGGGGCGAGGGTGCGGTTGAGGGGCACGAGCTAGCCAGCATATCGGACCGAAATATATTCCAAGTACGCCGATGAACTCTTGCCCGGGCACGTGATCTGGCTCCGGCTTACTCTGGGTGCTGCCGACACGGACCAGGCCAGTTTGGCTCAGAGCATTCGGTTTCCTGCCTGACAATAGCTAAGCACGCCACATCATTTAAGAAAACGGCGGACTGGTTTCCAATGTGACCAGGGTGGGATGCAGTGAACAGAATTCATTCTCAGTGCCTATCTTTGCAGACCATGGACAGGGGCAACAGTGGGGCAACCGTCAATGTCGAAATTGGTGGTGTAGCATGCGTGGCTGTGAAGCAGCTATGCTCCGGGCAAATCCACTGGCACCCCGAAGCAAAACACAACCGTCAATGTTTCGCTGTTTCGCAAATGAAACAGAAGCACTTTCGTGGGGACCTGGCAATGCTATGTGTTGCCTGTGGCTCTTGCGGTCATCCTGCGAGCTAAGGATGGGCAGCTGGTCCCGCGGATCCGAGCGCCACGGCACAGGGAATTGCAGGCCATCGTGAGACCGTGGGGCAGCAATTGAGGTTCTAGTTCCTGTGATGTTCCAATCAGGCCTTGCCTCTTCCAGTGGACTGCGTCCGGGTGCAAAGATGGGCAGGAGTGCGGCTCTGCTGAAGAGCCATCACGCCCTGAACTGAAGTCCAAGCTTGATGTCCTCCGCCCCCGGATACTTCTTGATGTCTCATTCTCGAATGCATACTCTAAGGTGACTTTTGTCATTTATGCCCTCCACCGAAGGACTTCCGTTGCAGAAGTTCTTGTCGTGTCTCAAGCTGTGCCGGGCAGTGCTTCATTTGAGACGTTGCTGCAACGGTGTATACTTAATCCGACCCACTTCAGAATGCAGGTTCCTGTGCCCCATCCTGTGCCATCGATGCCTCCATCATCCTTACCGGGACCTCTTCCTGCGTTGCCAGAGTGGTGCCGCGGCTTGCAAAGCGTCTCTTGGGAGACTGTTGGCCATCCCGACGCGGTGCCGAGGCAACAAGTCAATGCACCGGCAGGCCGGATGGGGGTGTCCCGGTGATTGAAAAGGAATTCCTGCGGCTGCCGTAGAGCTTGAGGCTTTAGAAGTACCGAACCTGGCCATCGGTCAGAAGCGCACTACATCAATCTGGCAGAACGTCTCGTGCCAGAGAATCAGGCAACTTGTATAGCTTGATGCTTGTTTCTCGATCGGCTGACTAAGCAACGCGTCGGTTCCACATGCCAGGCGCAGGGGGCGCAGACAATGACGCCGGGGATGATCTCGAGCTCTGTCGTGCTGGGCACTGCGCCATATCCAAATCCTCAGCCGATGCAGCCACCTCAGCAGTACAGGACACAATTATGGCCTGTGGCCTGCTCATGAACCTGCTCGCAGTGTCGCTCGAACTTGTCTTGCTCGGGCAGGACTGCTCCAACTTGGCAGCCGGTTCCTTCAAAGATGAAGGAATTCCGATCTGTGCAGTCGCCGATGCCCATGGGTGTCGGAAGCCGAGACTTTTACAACTTTACAACCCATGACGTTTGTTTTGCGGAGGGAGGCTGGCAGGCAACTCAGCGTTGCGAATCTCCCGGAACGCCCAACTGGTTGCCTTTAGAACGCTTGCGTGTCTACCAAGGTGGTCGATGGGCCACCCTGCTTCGACTGTGGCAACCAGACGCATTGTGTCTGTCTTCCAGGCTCGCTAGGGTCAAAGGAACATGCTGGTGGTCACTGCGTCCAACCTCAGGCGATGTTGGCTTCTCCGAGCGTGATCCGAGTATGCATTTGCGCATGCCTGTGCGGAGTCGCTGCCCAAGTCACCGAAGTGGGCATGCAGTGGTAAGTCGTTCGCCTGTGCTTTGTCTGTTTTCGAAAAATGCGTTTCCCTCCGCCTCTCTTTGCACCTGTTCCCCTGCGCCTTGCCCGGGCGATGCTGCGGCAATGGCAATATGATGTGGTTTAATCAAGCGAGACCGGTCATACTGACTCCCTCGCACTCCTCCCTTCTGCACTCGCCTATCCCGCCACCCGGCCACCAGGCTACCCACCCACTCTTTCAGCGCCCATCCACCTGCCTGACTACCAGATGCATGCACGCATGCAGCAAGAATGCAAACTTGTACGGGGGCCGCGCGAATTGGCCTCACGGCCATAGCTACCGTTACATATGTAGGGTGATAGTGATGCGGATAGTGCTGATGCAACTCCTTGTCGCTAGATGGCACAGTTTCTGATGACGATACTCTACTAGATGCAAATGGTGACTATGCCCATGCTGATGCTTACGCTGATCCTGACGATGCTTGCGATGTTCACGAGAAGATGTGATCTCGATCAATGAGGATCGCTATAGGCACGAATGGTGATGATGACGAGGATGATGGCGACAATACGATGCTGACGACGTGGATGTAGGAAGTGGCGATCATGGTAGTGACCACTCGGATGATGATGCTGATGATGATCACGATGAAGATGACGACGATGATGATGAGGATGGATGCCTATGGCCTATGTTGCTCACTGCGACGCGGCGACGACGGCGTTAACGACATGAGTGTGATGCAGGTCAAGGCGAGCAGAGTTCTAGTGGTGCTGAATAATGTGACTCGTAGTGATTATGGCCGTGAGAATGCTTTCAGCACCTGTCATGCCCATAATGCTTGGGATGCGCATTCAGTGGCAAACATAAGAAGTAGAATCGCGAGGGCCACTAGGCGCATCGTGAAAGGATGATGTGAAAGATGTGCATGCTTCATAACGCACCATAGCTCCAAATATATAGCTGCATGATACCGGCGGAGCGCGGCTGTTGAAATTCGATCTTCTCGTGGAAACAGTTATCACAAGCGCATCAACTCCGTCGGTCTTGCCATGGATGTGTTTAAATTTGTGGACGGAACTGTCAGACCTTCAGTTGGGGCAGTTCGGCATACAGCCTTGGATCTGCAACGGCCAGTAGAAGTCGTGACATTGCAAACTTTGTGCTGACATTGCAAACTTTGTGCTCCTCAGTATTTTCTGGCTCTGCTCACACCTGCCTAGCTTTCGCCTACCTGGCTCGAATATGCTTGAAGTGTGTTTCTGGGCTTTGGATGACTTTGACTTCGTAGCTTTGAGCGTTGAGGACCCGAGCCAGGGTTGACCGAGATCGCGCGCGAAGAGAGCGGCGATGTTGGGACTTCCGGCCAGATCCCTAAATCCGAGAAAGGAGAAGCTCTCGTGGCTGATGATAATTACCTTCTTTGATTCGCAACGAGATGAGGCGATGCTGATCTTGAACGGTCACTGCATCAGCTCATGCAGACTGGGGAAAACACCATCCGCAGCTCGAGCAGTGCAGGTGCAGTTGCACCGCGATATGTGCCCATCGAACTTCTCATGGTTTCGATCAGTGTCTTGCCACAGTACGTTGGGTGAGCCAGTATGCCAGTCTGCAGGGCAGCATTTGTCTCCTGGGCAAGTGGCACACATCAATGGGAACTGTGGCTTGCTCAGTCTGGAGAATCGTTCGTTCGCAATGCAGACACAGCCCTTTGTTTGCGGCTGGGAGCTGAGGTACCCCCTGTGTTGAGCTCATGCAATCTGCCACCTGCAGTGCTGGGCAAGATTGCTCATACTGCCATGTTTGTCTAGAGCCACCCGGGCCTGCGCCAGCTGCGTCGTCTGCACCGCCTGCGCCTGAGTGGCAAGGGCCTGAGCCGCGAAGAAAAAGAAACCAGATTCAGAACAAGGTTCTGAAAAAGAAGGGCGGTGAGGGCTGAGCACTTGTTCGTAAAGGTGTGTGTCTGTTGGTGGAAGTTCCAAGTACTAGCCGCTCTAGCCGCTAGCCGCGAGGACGTATCGTAAACTGAAGCTTGAATCAGCAAGTGCTCCGCCATTCTTCTGCCCGTATGGGTAAGACTCGAAACGGGTCAAGCGATCATCCTGGCCCTAGTGCCCTAGTTAGTAGCTGAGAGCTTGTTTCCAGTGTGGAAGAGATGGCCCTACATGGTAAACAGAACCAGCAGCCTTGCCGCCTAGCCGACCAAATTTGAGCTTCTGCTCGCCAGTTCATCAAAGCTTGAACTGCTACTGGCAGCTGGCAAGACTGGGCATCGGAAACTTCGAGACTTTCTTAGTCCGGTCGGCTGCCGGCCCAGGCAAAGGAGCAGTCGGTCCGCCTAACACCATCAGTTGCACATCGTAGGGGTGTTGCGGCCGGGCTTCTTTGTAGGATGTTTACGTAGCAAGTGGCCCGGATGCATTGCAGTTGGCCAGACGTGAAATGCTGTATGCACATAAGACATAAGCCACCCAGACAGTGGGTTTTACTCGCTGCATGTGCATCGGTGCCGTGCCGTCTAGCCAGGTTTGTGTTCTGCCTTTGCATTACAAAGCAGTATCGCATTAGGCAGCAGTGCAAAATGGCACTAAAATGTGGCGGTTGGCTTGGCCTGCGACGATCCATCCGCAGTGTAGGCATTGTTGTTATTGTCGCTTGCATTAAGATTCTTAGATTGTGATTCCCGTGCAGCAGAGATTTATTTTGCTTACTGCCATTGCTGGAGGGTTGCAAAGGCCTGCGTCAACCGGCTGCGATGCATCTTTGTAGTGAGTGCGATCAGGTGTTATTGACTTCATACCCCGGCCTTGTGCCAGGGATGTCACAGCAACATCGAACCGTGATGGGCTCCAAGCTCCTTCCGCGAACATTCGTGGTAGTGTGGTGTTGGTGCCTCCGATCAAACTGAGGGCGTGGCCGTTTCCATCGTTCAAACCCTTCTCTGTTAGCATGGCCGTTTCTGAAACTGGAGATGTCTGGACGCCAATGTATGCAAAAAAGCTAAACTTGGAGGCAGCTCTGATGAATGCACTTTGCCTGGCACCGGTGGAAGACTTGGTTTCTATGGGGCTCAAGAGGTAGGAGCTGCTCCTGCCCTCATCCTGACATGTGTTTGAAGGTCGGGCTCTCAGCGATGCTGTCCTACTCCAGAGAGGGTTGCGCTGGTGGATAGTGAGTTGTGTACTCGCAGGAGAAGAAGAAGCAGCATGGGCCTCGGCTTCTTGTGTTCGTCCTTTTTCTCTACTGGTGTTCAAAGCTGAGGCAGGAAGTTGAGGTTCCTGCCGAAGACAGTGCCAGGACTTCTCGGCACAAGTCCAAACGGCATCCCATTCATTCCCGTTGCAGGAGAACAGCGTCATCCTTTTGTATGGGTGTGTGCAAGACGGAAGAATCACCGATGCCATCACCCGAGTGCGATGAAGCCGAAGCTGAAGAGGAGTCCGGCCTTTCCCTGCCCTCTGTGGGCTCAGCACATCACAAGTTGGGCAGCTGCCAACCGTGTGCTTGGTTTTGGAAACCACAGGGGTGCCTGAATGGAGCTGCATGCTTGCGGTGCCACTTGTGCCCAGCTGGAGAGATCAAGCGGCGCAAAGGCGAGCTGAAGCAGAAGAAAGCACAAGCAGCCGAAGCTGCCAGCGCAGACGACGCAGCCACCGAGTTGTGTGACGGCGGTCCGACTGTGCCGCCACCATCATCAGCTCCATGCCTCAACCTAACAGAAGAGGGTCTTCCACCAGCGCCCTCCTGGACGGCATCGGATGCCATCGACCCTTTACCTTCAATCGGCTCTCGGCTGCATGGCAGCGGCCAGTGCAAGCCGTGTGCATGGTTCTGGAAAGCAGAGGGTTGTAGGAACGAAGCAGCTTGTGGCCACTGCCATTTGTGTCCGTTGGGGGAAGCGAAGGCCCGGAAGCAGGCCAAGCTAGCCATGATCCGAGCCAAAGCCCAGGAAGGCGAAAACGAGCTGAAGCCAGAGATAAATGGGCACCTGGGCCCGAGTGGCCTCCCCCTCTCGGAGGTCAGACCCATTGTATTAACGCCAGCCCCCACCTTACTCTTTAATGTTTGTGAGGTGGCCCCCCATCAGAGCAACCCAGCGCAGTTGCAGTCCTTGTCCTTCTTCCCCGGACAGCCAATGCAGTCCACACCAGTGCAACCACCCGTGCAAGTCCATGTCCAACCTCAATGTCACCAAGCCCCAGTTCCATCCATTCCACCGGTCCCACCTGTTCCTCAGTATTGCTCTGCTCAGATTGGACAGCATCAGAACCTGCAGAGGCCCGTGCTTTTGGGCAACCCGCTGCCTGCTTTCCAACCGGCACAAAGCATTGGAGGTTTGTGCAGCAGAAGTGGCCCTGACGGTTTGAAGCGCGTCCCGTACGAAGCGGGAGAACGGCGACATCTTCCACAAGAAATGCCTCTGGGAATTCTCCACAGCGTGCCGCTTTATCACCAGCCAGTTCACCCACCGATTCAAGCGCTCCCAACAGCCTTGCCATCAGTTGGCTCTGCATTGCATGCAGAGGGAAAGTGCTCGCCCTGTGCATGGTTTTGGAAGCCGCAGGGTTGTCGGCACGGGGCTGGCTGTGGCCGATGCCATTTATGCCCTGCTGGCGAAATCAAGCAGCGCAAGAAGAGCAAGGCATCCAAGGATGTTGCAACAGATCCCTTGCCTCCTGGCTGCAGCTGTATGATTTTAGCGTTGCTGATTAGTACGCGCGTTTCTCACAGTCACATCGCTCAACTCGGTGAGGTGCTTTCCGGCTTCGCCGTTGATCTTGGACTAGCACTGACATCTGATCATCTAGCATGGTTTGCCACTCGCAAAGACTCTGATTTCCCAGCGGCCTTCAGAACTTGGCTGAGTTTCAGCTCTAGATGGGGCCATGATATCTCCTCTCCGACTGCAAGCTAAGCTTGCATTCACACTTGTAGTGACACTGTAGCTCCGGTGGAAGACAGTCATGATTTCATAGTGAGTTGGGCATTGCACTGATTCGGGTTCTGTGTCGGATTCATGTGTTTTTCTTGCCTTCCCAAGCAGCTCGCTAAGGGAGCCCGAAGAGATTTCCGAAGTGTTTTGCTCAGGGCGTGCCTTAGACGTCCAAGCAGTGGTTGGGGTCCTGAACCTCCAGCATATCCCAGCATCCAAATGCGAAAGCGGATTTGATGAGATGAGGTCTCCAGCCTCGACTTGTTTACAAAAGCAAAAAGGCATTTTTTCACACATTCTTACCCTTTAAGGTTTTGGTCTTGAAGACCTGCAGGGATTCCTTAACAGTCTCTGAAATCAGCAGAGAGCAGCCCGAAGATGTGGTGACTGTGTGCGGTTATCTTTGCAAGTTTCCGAGATGTCCCTGCCGGTCGGATAGATGTTGGCGAGCCAGCCGACCGGGGCTTTGTGATGGCTGCGCCGAGCATGCTCAGAACATGGGCTTGGCAGGCCGGCGCTGAGAGTACAGATTGATCTCTGTCGCTGACTGCCGAGACAGAGACACCGAAGTCGAAGCACCAGTCTTCGACTTTGCTAGTCTTACTATGCGGAGCTGACGCTGTGCCGTCTACAGTATAGGTGTGGACAGTGCAGGAATCGTAGGAGCATGCATGCGTTTGTGTGCTTGAAGCAATAGTCGAATTCGGGAAATTGGAACACTTGACAATCTCGCCCTTAGACCTCCAGAAAGAGACAATCGGTCAGCTGCAGTGCTGTTGCATGACGAGCCTGAAGTTGGGAGACATGCGGAGAAGGATTGTGTATGGGCAAGCTCAGCTGCGCCCACGTCGTAAAGTTCGTAAAGCGTGGTCTCTTGCCAGCCGACCTCCTTTAAAGAGGGTGAAGTGTAGCATGGGGCACGAGAAAATGGCTTCGTTGCATCTCGGGCCTGAGTGTACACAGGAGGCGAATGAGGCTTGCCTGCATCAAAATCTGTCGCTCTCTCTCTCCCTCTCCCTCTCTCTCTCTCTCTCTCTCTCTCTCTCTCTCTCTCTGGCTCTCCCACTCAGTTTCGGTCGAGCATGTGCGGACGGGTGTTTGATAGTTGCTTCTCATCAGGACTCAGTCTGCCTCTACATGCCGCCAACGCCTGCCACTTGCGTGCCGCCCAGTGACGAGGACAGATGCATGCATGCACACTCACACGGCCTACAGATATTAAGCAGTTGCCCTTCGAGGGATTCGGGTGTAGTCTCCTGCAGGGTCAGGCAGCAGACCGTTGTCGATCAGGGCATGCGTCTGTTCAGATGGTAGGAGGGGGTCTTTGCCACAGGCAAATCCCTTGTAGAGTCTCTGTGCTGTGTCTTCCGTCTGACTTCCTGCTGAATGAAGCTGAAGCACACGCAGCACGAGCCTAGGTCGGATAAGCTGAAACTCGGGCTGGGGCACCTTCCACGGTCGAACTATGTAGTTGTTGCGTGTTCTTTGTCGACATCATCAGGTACTCTTTAGGTCCTCCTCGGATGGGTGGCTGCCTTCCCTACCGGTTTCCCTTCGTGTGGCCCTGGAACATTGGTGCCTTTTCACAACTCTGTTTTGCTTCATTCGACGAGCGGGCGCCGGGATCTGGTGGAATTCTGAAGCTGGAGCCGAAGCAGCTGGCTTCGATCTCACAAGTCATTCAATCTCAGTAAATTTGGAAGTTACGAGCTCAAAGAATCTCAACATCACACCACGGCTTCCCAGCTCGAAAGAGTGCAATGATGTGGCGCTCCAAACCCTTTCGACAATCATGGCCTGGCGATATGAACAGCCCGTGACTGTCAGGAGACCGGCGATGCAGACCATGCTGTTTCTCGGCAATGCCAAGAGGTTGACTTCGTATGTAAATCGCGTAGCACGATTTAGGCGGGAAGCCTTGCAAATGCTTCGCCGCCCAGGCTGCCAGCTCGAGTACCCTGCCGTCCAAGGGATCTTTGCTGCATGGCACCGGCAACTGCAAACCTTGCGCTCCGCAGCAGCAGCGGATTCGCAGTGCTTGCACATCCCTGCCGACACACGGATGGCTGAGGCTTGGATGTGGAAATCACAAGGCTGCTTGAACGGAGCCCTCTGCCAGCGGTGCCACCTGTGCCCTGCTGGAGAGATAAAGAGGCGCAAGAAGGACAGAAATGGCCCTCCGACAAACAGCTTTTCTGCTGGCACAAAAGCTCTTGCCACGCTTTGCAGGAGCAGCTGAAGAGGCTCACGGTTCCAAGGTGCAAAGACGAGAACGGCGAAGAGGAGGAGGACGAGGAGGAGGAAGAGGAGCAGGAAACAGCAAATGCACTCAACGTGCTTCAGATGGGATCGAGCTCTTCGGTGATCACCCCGCTGCTTTCGGCAACCTCACTGCCTCCGGTGCCACCCCCTTTGTCGTCCCCCTCCGTGAACTTCCTCGAGGACATAGTGCCACCTGCTCCGACCTGGGAGACCTTGAAAGAGGAGCCCCTGGAGCCCCTGGAGCCCCTGGAGTTCCTGGCCTCTGTAGGCTCTGCGCTGCACGGAACAGGGAACTGCAAGCCTTGCGCATGGTTCTGGAAGCCGCAGGCGCCGGGCTGAAACTGGAAAGGTGTCTTTCTTGAGCTGTTTTAGAGTGCCCCCCCCCCTCCCCCACCGGCTTTCAGCCCAAACTACTTGATAAAAAATATCCGTTTCGAGTGGATGCAGTAGTTGGTGATGACATCACCCGTCTCATTCCGGGAGGCCTTCAAACGCAGAGCGTGCGAAAAGTCGACATCAGCTCTAGCGTCCCCTCAGCTTCGGGTTGACATTTAATCTCTAAGATTTCACGCATGCGGCCAGACCGAAAGTCTTTCAAGTCCCCAGTCGGGATTAGCCTTGTGCAGGGCTGCCGGAATGGAAGAGATTGCGGGCACTGTCATGTATGCCCGCCTGGCGAGTCCAAGATGAGAAGGCAGGTGAAGCTGGCTGCGCTTCGTGCGCAAGAGCCGCTTGAAGACGCTCAGGAAGCGGACTCTCTTGAGCCTGAGCTCACGTGGAGGCCTCCCCCTGGCCTGGAGCTTGAACAGCCCTTGCCCCCGTGCCCACCGCCACCCATGCCTCCAAGCTTGCCTCTGGAACAGCCTGAGCCTTTGGACTTCTGGTGCAAGGCCAAGTCGGGCTGTGGGGCGAGGACTGCGGGCATCGTGCTGCAGCCGATTGAGCGGCCCCCGGAGCAACTCGAAGCAGCCATCGATGCCCCGACGAACGAGACCCGGGCCCCGCTGATCGACTGGAGTGTACCCTTTCCAGACTCTCCAAAGTCCAAGCCTCTGGCATTTCCGGGCAAAAGCTTCGGACAGCGTCAGCCGTGGACTGACCACATTGGCCAGAAGCTTGACATTGCGGACAAGCCCGAGGATCCTTGTGAAGAGAGTGGTGTAAAGCGACTCTCCACCCTGCGGCTCCCAGCTTTGGATGGCTCTTGCCCACGAGTTCACTCTGGAGTAGCTCTTGAACGTTTGCCCTCACAAGATCTCGGTGCTCTGCAGGCCGGCTCGTTTCTTTTGAGCGCATGGGTGAACTTCGGCCATTCAGTCGTTGGGCGGCAGGCAGATGACTTGGCTGACCTGCCGTCCGTGGGATCGGTGCTGCATGCAAAAGGCCAAGCTTGAGCTTGTGAGCGCGACGTGCTCGCCTTAAAACCTTGTCTGCCAGGTTGCTGCAGTCCGTGTGCCTGGGTCTGGAAGCCGCAAGGATGCCTTCACCTCAGCTCGGATCTGTCTTGTTTGAACTTCTTTCAGTTGCAGCTGCTGCGAGGCCACAACGGAAGGAACTGCGGTCGTTGCCACTTGTGCCCACCAGGCAGTTTGTATCGAGAGCCGGCTGCAGGGAAAGAGATTGGGTATTGCTAGGCAGTTCTAAACTAAAGCCTTCGTGTGATTCTTTTTGACAACGCGATGTCCGGAGCCTTGCGATGCACAGGAGCATGGAGGTACCAGTTGAACTGGGGACCTGCATTTAAATGGCACCTGACTTTATGCTAAGCCGCGTTGCTTCAACAAAGTCGCCCAGTGGCGAAACAGATGAATTATCACCGCTGGAAGGTGCAAAAATCTAACGATCCCCTACTTACACCCCCGACGTGATTGTGCATTACAGACAACTCCTCGTATGGCGTGCATGATAAATCGGGGCTCACACGCGTGCGGGGAGAAAAGGGGATTGGATGTGGGATTTCAGTTTCAGGAATTGGGGGACTGATGGAAAGGATCGACCACACAGATCTTGTGCACTTCTTAATACAACAACGGCTGGCAGGCGAGCGGTTAACGCGCAGGTGTAACGAAGGTTGGACTGATGCCCTGGGGACAACGACGGAAGAAAATGAACAATTCGCTGCTCGAACCCATTCAGATGCGCTTGTCAAACCGCACAGCTTCAAAAGATGTGCTTGCTTGGTATTCGCTGCTATGATGGGTTCTATGCATAGCTTGCCGGCCTGCATGCTGAACACAACCTAGCCACAATGAGTTGTAAAGCCTTTTGTTCAGGACAGGCACTACAGAGCATGAATTCCACAGTCTCTCCCAAAGCAACCTTCCATGTGGGCATGTCATGAGAGACGGGAAGATGCCCCTCGAAAGGGATAAGGCCGGGTCAGCCAAGAAATGCCGCATTCCACAATAGGCTCCCCTGAAAATGCTTGGAAGCTCGGGGAGCTCACTAAAAGTGTTGCGGTGCGTTCGCGCGAGGCAGCTGTTGCCACGCCCGCCGCGCAGACCTGTACAAGCGCGTTTGGGAGCCATGCTCGCAAGTAGACTGAGAGCGAGCAAGCGATTCTGCAGCAAGCTGCCCGCACGCGGGTGCGCG